ATTATTTATGTTGGACAAATCAGAGCATGGGGACAATTCTACTACATCAAAAATGAATGTAGTAGTTATGCAATTGTAATATCTAAGAATATAAGCCTTTGCATAATCTCAATAAAAAAACTTGCTCTGTGCTTTTCAACTACATGTGGAGGATATGCACTGTAGTTACTGGTTTCTTCCCATAAAAGGTGATCCATGATATGTGTAATGCTTCCTATTGTACTAAAAGAAGTGTAATATTAATACTACTCTAATATATAACAATGGGCCTGAGAGGTTGAGATCTCTGAAAATAAAATAAACTTGATAGTAGAAAGAAGAGGTGAGTGGTGGCAGTTTAGGGAGTGGGGCTAGGGCATTAATACAGGATTAAAGCCAGCCTTTTGATATGTACAACAGAAAGGGCAGACAGTCCTTGAACATTATTCAGAAGGAGTTAGTGGTGGGGCACCCCCTTCTCAAATCCTTTTATTGTCCTTTCAACGTTCTTTTCCTTGCTTGTAGCTGATTGCAGAGAAGCCAACCTTTAAAACTTCTGACTTTCTACAGGAATAGAAAAACACAGTGACACTAAGCTGGAAGAGGAGTCTGACAGCAGAGGCAATAATGAGTTTGTATAGATAAAGGGATAGAATGTGAATGACAGGAGGATATTGCATTGTCACTGTGGCTAGGGAAAGAAGGAAGGTCAAGTGGAAGAAGGGTGGTGCCTTGTGGGCTTAGAGACACATGAAAGACAGTTTTGAATGGAATAATGTTTCAAAATTATAGAAATTCCACTCAGAAAGGCTTTCTCATAGTGGTACAGGTGTTCTTCTTACCTGAAAAAGAGATAGCCTGACTGTAATAAATTTCAGTTTTCAGGTTTTTTCATTATCTCAAAATATGTGTTCAGTAATGATTCTACCTTAATCTGCCTTGGCTTTTTAGCCTGAGAATTCTTGTTTTACTGAAATATGCAGTATTTTATTCTGTGATGCCAAAAAGTCAAAGGAGGTAGACAAACCGATTGTCTCCTTTGCAATGGAACTGCTCACTTTATTTAAAACAAAATGTGTATTTTCATGAAAATTCAGGCCTGTATTGTATAAGAAGCCTCTATTAAGTAAAGGAGCTATATAAAAGCTGTCTTAGAAAACCCACAAAACAGCCAGGCGATGGTGGCGCACGCCTTTAATCCCAGCACTCGGGAGGCAGAGGCAGGCGGATCTCTGTGAGTTCGAGACCAGCCTGGTCTACAGAGCTAGTTCCAGGACAGGCTCCAAAGCCACAGAGAAACCCTGTCTCGAAAAACCAAAAAAAAAAAAAAAAAAAAAAAAAAAAAAAAAACCATAAAACAGTAAAATTTGCAGTGATGACAGAGTATGTTAAATATCAACATATATATGTACAGTCATACAGGCTATAATTTTCATTGTATGATTTTTGATCAAGAAGTTTAAAGTCAAAAGACAATGGTTGAGGAAGATAGGTAGATTATACCTATCTCCAATCAGCATAAAGACATCATATGAAAAAAGCACTTAGCATATTGTCTTTTATAATTATCAGCCACCTAGGAAACATGACTCAGTCAAAGGATTAAGTAACTCTGTGGGTCAAGTGAAATGACATTTTATGTCCTTTTGTCTTTTTCTGTGAATGTCAGACCACCTGTCTACCAATGTTTCTCACACACAAATCAGTTTTAGAAACATGGCCTAAAGGGTGTGTTAGAACTGAGTAGGGACACAGAGGGGAACATTAAGTTGCAGCAGTGTAGTTTCACAAAGCATTTACCTTTATTTTTATAAAAGTAAATAGTAAGGAGACCCTTACCATATGGTTTGAAAGATGAAGCTATAGGGATGAGGGGTGAGTGAGAAAAGTACAGAAATAACTACAAATTTAAATACTCTGTTTGCCACAAGAGAAGTTCAGATAAAGCAAATTGGATAAGTATTAAGAAAGTCTTTTCTGTAGTTGTTATATCTGTTATACTTTTGAGAGGAAAATGTTCATTCCTATGGGTTTGGAAGTAGCTTGTACTGCACTTCCTGTTTACTCAGGAAATATATCCTTTTGGGGGTTTTATGGCGCTAAAGAACAAATAGCTATAGTTGTAGTTTTTCTTAGTTATGCTAGAAGGTAAATTAGGTTCAGAGATTTGGAATCATCAAGACAGAAAAAATAATGGATATGCCAAATCCAAATATGCCAAATACATATGGACTAGACATTGTAAATGCAATTCTTACCTGATAATCATTCTTATTCTTTATAATTTTATTACACTAGAGTTAAAACCTTTCCTTTTCATTTAGACAAAAGGGGGAAATGTTGTGGAATAACCTTTTTGTACACTGTGAAGATCTGCCACTCAGATTGACTTAAAAAAAAAGCCAAATAGCCAATAGCTAGACAAGATTTTTGGGCCAGAAAGGATGCTGGGAACAAGAAGGGTGGAGTTTCCAGGCAGACAGGAAATAAAACACACAAGAGGACAAGTCAGTACTACTAGTCACATGGCAATGCGTAGATGAATAGAAACAGTTAAGTTATACAAGCTGGGTAGAAACAAACCTAAGCTACCTTTCAAGCTTTCATAGCTAACAAGAACTCTCCATCTTGTTATTTGGGAGCAGGCAGGCAGGGCAGAAACATCTGTCTACAAAAAGATATATTTTGATTAGGACAAAGGAGCCACACTGAAAACTGAACTTCTTCACAACATTTATATTTCAAAAACTTGAATTTATGTCTCAATATAATGATTTCAGACATTGACATTTAATTTATACAGTGGAGACAAGACAGAAACCTACTTCTACGCTATCTTGAAGGTGCTAAATAATGTGGCGTTAAGGTTTACAGCAGGCAGGTGAGATGGTTCAGCAGGTGAGAGAACATGCTGTGCAGCAGAGCCTGAAGACCCCAGTTAATACCCAATGCCCTAAATAAAGGATAGTTCTGATGCTGCGTATTTGCAATCTCAGCATCCCCATCGGCAAGATGGGAGGCAAACGCTGGAAATCAGTCGAGGATCTGGAAAGGCAACGAATCTGGAGCACACGGGGTGGCAGAGACACTAGAGAGCAGGCCTCAGCAAGACGAAAGGAGTAAACAAACTCCTGACAGCGTCCTCTGACCTTCACAGTCGTGCTGAGGCAAAACATACCTGCACACACACACACACACACACACACACACACACACACACACACATCCATCATACATACAGATGCAAAAATCACGATGAAAATAATGATAATAAATAAAAGATATTAAAATTTAAAGTTTCAAGTACTATTTTGTATGGGTCACAAGAGGAACACTGAATGGTGGTTATGACTCCTCTAGCCTCTTTTCTTTTAGATTGCTCCACTTTCAACAGAACAAAATCCAAGCACACACTATGAAACTGAATATGATGCACACTTTAATTATGTGTTGGGCTTCTGTAGTTGTTTACTCAGCAGAAGATAAGAAAAATTTCAGTTCTTTTTAATAGGGAAGTACTTTCTATGAGAGCATAGATGTGCAGTGGCAGTTTTCAAAGGCACACATGGCTATGGTGAGAACCTGATGACCCAATGTGTTTGAGGAATGGAGTGCAGTCAGGAATAAAAATCTTTCCTAATAGCCCATGTTCATGGCAAGTACTCATATTCAGTGATTGAGAAACAAGATTACTTTTGGCATGTGCTATACAATCACAGAGATAGAGCTTGTGTTTAAAGGAAGTTGAAGGTGGGTTTCAAATAGTATTGCCATCGCCTTAAAACTTCTAATAATTTTTTTCACAACGGACCCCCATTATCATCATGTATTGTACATGGAGAACTATCCAGCCTGCTAAGTAGGACGGCTTTTAAAGGAGTGGAATATAATCAGCTGCTTTCATATGGCTTTGAAAAGACACAACTTGCCGAAACGACCACACCTGGGCATGTTCTGCTTTCTGCAAAGGATTACACACATGCAGCATCTTCAGCAGACTAATCACTCCACAAAGGATGTAGTTGTGTTTACTGTTTTAAGACGCTCTCTCATACCATCTGCTTTGAAGATACTTATACAGTTGTCAGTGTTTGTATTCCCTAAACTTCAGTGTGTTCAGATGATAGTATTTGATAGGCAAATCAGTGTGTTGGAGATTCCTAGGTTATTGCCTCAAAAGCAAAGACAAGTTGACAGAACTTTCTTCCTCCTCTTTTACTTTGAAAGGCAGATGTGTTGGTAAGTGAAACCTGACCCTGTAGAAAATCTAGGACATGCTAGGAGTAAGTATAACAAGGGATAATGGAGCTCACCTCTTTGCTAGACCTGCTGAAGGAAATCTCTTCTGTGAAAGACAGCCTGCTTATCTTGCATCAAAGACTTAAGAGAGGTATTATTCTTTATTCTCAAGGCCCTTTGCATTAGCATAGTTTCTCCTAGCTAATGCACACCATAAATTCTTGTGGGGTGCTTCACCATAATTTCTTTAAAACCAGAATAGCTGAATAATGAAAAGTTCTGAGAACTGGAGATTTGCACATAGGAAGCATTATTAATTTACATTAAAATGATCTAAAACTGTATTGAACAAAATTTTACTTTTGATGATTTTTTTCAGAACACTCTAAGTCTTGTGTAGCCTCAAGGTCATATTTATGAACACTAATTATAGTATAAGTCTATAGATGCTGCAACTTGAGTAAATCTATAATAACCTCATGACAAACTCCTGAAATTGCATTTTCAAAATAAATTCCTGAGGCTCTCTTGCTTCTCTGTAATTTATCTTCATTATGAGACATACTATAGAAGATGAAAATAACTTTAGCAAATGTTCTCATTATTTGAGAACTGAATATGGACACATCTGCTTTTAAATAAATAATTAAAAATTAGAAAATGCTTTTATATCTTAATATTTTCAATGATGAAACATGCTAAGGTTTAAAATATTATGTCGTTGAACCAATTGAAAAGCTATAAGGGAATCAAGTATTTAAGAGTGTAGTATTTATGTTTACCTGCTCCAATAACTCTCTCAATGCGAATTCTTGAAGGATCAATCTCTTTTGCAAATTCATGGACTGCTAGGGATGGGTCTTCATAGGTGTCTGGATCAATGTATGTTTTAATTCCTGGGAATCGCACTGCAACAAAATATAAGATTAATTTAATTTAAGAATATTTCAGTAGGCATATATCTTATGAATGTACAAATGTGGGAATGGCATACTGAGGTAGTGACTTATTAATTACTTAAATTTCTCTTTATTGCTCCTTCAGGTTGACATCTCCACAAAATGGAAAACAACAGAGGGATCCCACAGTGCATAAATTCTCTCTCTTGCTCTGCATCTTGAGTGCTACAAATTGAACAGCCGTTGCCACATGATCCTACCTCTAGTATATATAGGTCCAGAAATTCAGAATCAGGTAACCACAGACAGAGTTCTCTGAAATTGTGAGCTTAAAATAAATCCTTCCTCCTTAAGAAATCTAATGTAAAGAAATGGGAACAATACTGTGACTAAGCTAGACCATGTTGTTCACAGGCTTTGGAGATGGTTTATAAAAGGATCTCAAAATACTCTGGCAAAAATTCTGGATCTGTAAGGAAAGCCTAATTCTATTCCTGGAGGAGGTCAGAAGACCAGAATGCACGCAGTAATGCTAAGAGTAAAGACTGCGTTCATAGAGTTTCTTATATGAAGAACTCTATTGGAAATCTGACTAAAGACCTTCATGTTACATTGTGACAAAGAATTTCCCCCATCTTTTGTCCCTGCCCCAGTGGAAGGCTGAATTGAAAGGCCACAAAAAATGAATATGGTAGAAGAAATGTTAAAGCATTCCAGGAAGGTCCTGACACAGTTGTGCTGGCTGCTTTTAGCCATTATTTATGGTGAAAACTATGAATTTAAAAGTAGAAGGGTTTAGAAAAAAAATAACCTTACAGTTTGGTCAGAAAGAAGTAAGTTTAAAGTTAAATACAAGGAGGGTGTGGCAGTTAAAGAGATTAGAGCCATTAAAAGGGTGTTGTGGATTTGCCTTTGGAACAATAAAGTATGCCTTGAACATTTCAGGACTGAGCAGGATTCTACCTATGTCCAATTCAAGAGTATAAGTGTATACACTTGAAAGATATTTCTTAAGAGGAGAGATCAATTGGTGTACACTACTTACCTAGGACAATCTCAATGGTTATTCCCTTTAGATTTATTTCACTTTTCTTAGTCATGTAGACACTAAGAGACATCTATACTCATGGTTCAAACTGGCAGAAGATCTTAGCATTATTCACTAATTCTAATTTTGAAAATGATGATGGATAGGGTCATAGAATCTTTCACACAACTTTCAAAGAAAACCTAGAGATCCAGTCAATGTGTAGAAGGTTTGGTACTACTGTGGCAAGCTCTGATAGGATAATATATAAGGCTATAATAGCAAAGATAAAGATGGAATAAAGATCCCAAGAAGCTAGAGATTCTGAGAATATTAAACTTTGGTTGAGAAAGATTATTGGCAACCAGCAGATCCAGCTCAGGAAAGTGGTTAAGTATGCTAAAAACAGGGAGGATATGATGCCCAAGTTCTTTGCAGCTTATATCATTCCACACCATGACCTGAATCCTAGACATAAAGCTACATGATTTAATGTTTACTCTGATTTGTTTGCTTTGTTCTCCCAAACCTTATTTGGTATTCTATATTCTTCACTTTTGGAATGAGAATATTGATTGTGTATCTGATCTATCTGGTCTCTGTGACTCTGGCCTCATAGGAGACTTTGAACTTTTCAGCAATGCTGAATTATTAGGACTTTAAAGATGCATTTGATATCGTAAGATACACATGAAACTTTTGGAATGAGGGCAGAGCAGAATGCCATGGTTTAAGGAGATATGGTTTAAGGAAGGTGGACTCATGATGGCTAATTTTGATTGACAAATAAAATGAGAAGTGCTTTAGGAATTAATAAAGGTCTTGTTTGGGTATGTGTAAAGATGTAAGATAGTAGTCATTAAAGGAGAAGACTTCCTCCAATCTTGGTGGAACAATCCCATGGTCTATGGTGTGAAATGGGTAAAGGAGGAAAGGGTAAAAAACCACAGCCTAGGCAGTCTTTACACTCTGCCTCCTCCCTGCCATGAGTTGAATGTCTCTGCTCTGTCAGGCCCTCAATGTATGTGACCTCTGAGACCATGAGCAAAAGAAATCTTCACTCTGTAAGGAGTTTTTGTCCACTATGTCACAATGACACACACATATCTATGGCATAATACAAAATAAGTGGATGATTTTTGGTGTTGTTAGAGAGCCAAACTAATCCACAGTCTCACGTTCTTACAGGAAAATAAACAAAACAAAACAAAAAAAGAGTGAGCTTAGAAGAGGCAATATGATGTTCATTAGTAGCTGTAATTTGCTTCATTAATTATTTTGTGTTCACTGTCTTCATTTATTAACTTTCACCTATGTCTTCTTAGTGCTTTTATATGCACATATGAGAAAATTAGCATCTTAAAAATAGTACCAAAAAAGAATATTTCCAGGTGTATGTAGACCGTACATTGATTCTGAAATTTTATGCTTTTCTTGACTTATCACAGTTTAAATGTGAGGAGAGAAGAGTTTGTGTCTCTTTGTAATATTTATATTTTCATAACCTCTATGTTATACTCACAACTTAATCATGGTTATAATATTAAATTTAGCTCTGATTCTGCTGGACAGTTAGTGTCAGCTAATCAGATATATGGTCATGCTGAAAACATTAAAGACAGATGAAAATATCATTACTAACTCACATGTAATTATCAAAATTAAGCTATTTATTTAAAGTTATAATGCACTCCTATACAATAACTAGATAACAATGCTTCATCTGTGAAAATGCAATATATGTAATATTGTAAAATCCTTGGCCAAATGAATTCCAATTGTGAATATCAGTTTACTAATTTAATTCATCCCCTGCTTTCTTAAACACTGGTTTCTTTTGCTTCACTTCCTTGGCGCTTCAGGTTATTTTCAATAGGTCTTGCTGAGCCCATCTGCTGTAGTTTATGCTAATCTGCTGCTTGGAAAGCAGATAATAAATACTTCAGAAGCACTGTTTCCCTCTGCACCTCGGTACAAAAAGCCCTGCCGTGAATCTTAAGGTTGCCCAGCATTAGTTATTCCTCCAGGTGTCTGCATCCAGTTTTCCAGTCTGTTTACATTGTACTGAGGTCATTTCAGGCCAGGTCTCTAATGCAGATGGTTTTTAGGTACATTTAAAAATTACAGGTGCCTTTGAATTTTCCCTAAACCATCTCAGAAATTTATAATATCTTACTTAAAACTTCTTCCTGTCTTGTGGGGGAGATATAGATGAGATGGGCCTTTTTTTTAATCTATATTTTTTTTTGCTTAATTTAAAAACAAAAGGGAGATTTAAAAAGTAGAACAAGTTGCTCCTTATATTATCTCTATACTTTGGTTAATTAAAAAACATCGCTTTCCTGTTAGTTCAGTGTCTCACAATAGAAAAACTGTCTTGAGAAGTAGCTTGCAATTTGGAGGTGAAGGTGGAGGCGGGTGTTTGGAGGAGAGAAGGGCAATTATCAAACCAACTATAGTTGGTAATTACAGCTTGCTGAGGAAGAGATCTCCAAATGAATATAACCTTGTAGTCAGCACAGGGCTTCATACATATTCTAAGAGTTAAAGAGCTGATATACTTTTATAGTGCTAATGAATTGTAAATTGCTTTGTTGTATGATTAAATGACAATCTTCAAAAACGGAATAAGGGTTCCTCAACATGTCTGTATAACACTTCACTAAATAAAACTGACTCACGCTCCAGAGCCATTGTGATGGTAAATAACTATACATAATTAGTCACCACGAATTTTTAGTAAATTCAATTTGTTGGGTTCTCCCACAAGCATTGAAGAAAAGGTAATGCCATTTAATGAGAAGCAGGTGCAGTTTCCACCCTAAACCTGGAAGCTAGATGAAACCCTTAATGCCAAAAGGTTGGAAATGAATGTTTCGCTTGTTTGCTTTCAGGAGACCCCAAATTTGAATGGAGTCCTAAAGATTCCAGTAGGATATAGATGGTGGCAGAACAATGGCAATACTTACGGTGGCCATTCTGTAAGTGTGTTCTTCTCTTCTCTTCTGATTTCATTTTAGCCTTTATGTACCATTGACACCTTACAAAAAAGAAAACAAAAGCTTACTCAAGAATTATGTAATACAAGAATGCAAAACAATTAGGGGCCTGGAGAAATGCCTCCGTGCTTAAGAGCACTTGCGACTCTTCCATACATCTTGAGTTGATTCTCAGAGAGGGCTCACAAGTGTCTGTACCTCCAGGTTTAGGAACTGTGGCCAAAATAAATGAATCTGTTTGACAGAGTAAGGATTCAAATCTAAACCTCTCACCTTTTCAACTTATAATAATTAAAAATTATCTATTATCTATATTACTCTAAAGCAGATTATTATATTTAAAACTAAAATTATTATAATGTAGAGAATTTTCATATTTAGTTGTCAAAACATCTTACTTTCATTACAAATTCACAAAGAATTGTTTTGTCTAATTCTGATTTTTTTTCCCCAAGAAAAATCCTTCACAGAGTCATCAAATTAGAATAAAGAAATAAAAATTCAGGAGTATGTTAGTCTTTACTATTCAGCTTTAAACTTTCTACTGTAGGATTTGGGTAGGGTTTTTTTTTTTTCTAAATTGAGAGCAGCTATTGAATGTTTCTATCATCTCTTCATGTCAGGAATATCCCCCCCCCCCGCCCCGACATGTGAATACACACACATGCATATGTGCACACGCACACAGACACACACAAGAATACACTGGGTATAAAGTGTGGTTTTCCACTGAGTTGGGGATAATCCAGAAGACTCACTTACCTCCCAGTGATGAGGAAGAAGAGAGTGAGGATGACTAGGAGCGTGAATCCTCCAACGGCCGCCGTGGCTATTACCAGGATCTGCCCTTGTTCTGCTGCCATGTCAGAAGCTGAAACATAAGCACAGGTGACACATATGGTGATGGTTATTATTTTAAAGCACAGTAGAATTGACCTTTATTTTAATAGGTCTCTAAACAAACCAGCTGAAGTAGATTTATATGATGCTTACAGAACTGAGGTCATTATACACAACACAAAACTTTCTTCTGTCTTAAAAATATAACAAGGTGTTTGAATTCTTTTTTTTTTTTTTTTTTGGTTTTTCAAGACAGGGTTTCTCTGTGGCTTTGGAGCCTGTCCTGGAACTAGCTCTGTAGACCAGGCTGGTCTCGAACTCACAGAGATCTGCCTGCCTCTGCCTCCCGAGTGCTGGGATTAAAGGCGTGCGCCACCACCGCCCAGCAGGTGTTTGAATTCTTAACGCTTTCTATAATCTATATATTATATATAACATATTATATAGAGATTATATATAAAAATCTATAATTTAAATTAATAAATTAAAAAAATAATTTATATATAACATATATTTCACAGAACTAAGTTTCTGTGAAATTTAATAAGAGTAAGTATACATGTGTATATGTGTGTACAAACGCATATATATCTATATATACATAAATATTTGGTAGATGATAAGTACAGGAGAAAAGAACACTTAAGTGCTTATTTTTTCTTTTTTGATGACAAATAGTTAACAACATTTTACATTTTTTTTTTTGCTATGTGTGGTGTTCAGTATTAATTTTCAACTTGACAGATCCAGAGTCATTGGGTGACACTGGCGTTTCAGCATGCATGTGGGAAATTATTTTGATTACATAAACATTCATTGTAGGTGGACCCATTTCATGGACTGGGATCCAGGAATGAATAAATGGAGAAGAGGAAATGACTGGCAGCATTCGCTCCTCTGCTCCATACTCCATGATTGTGCTATAACAGCTGCTTCCGGCTCTTTCTTGTAGCCTTGATTTCCCTTTCTGAACACTTGCACTGTGAACCAAAATATACCTTCCTACTTACGTTACCTTTGCTAGAATGTTTTACCATACAAAGAAAGAAATAAACTAAGATACTTTCAAAACTCTCTCTCTCTCTCTGTGTATGCTTTTCTGTTTGTTTGTTTATGATGCTAAGGTTTGAATAGAGGACTTTGCACATTATAGATAAGAAAATGCTTGTCTTAAAAACTGCAGCAGCTACCCTTCCAGTGGCCCTAAAATACATTGATTGGTTCAGTTCATTTTTTGTATTCCATTTTCACTATTACTGTTTTCTACACTATATGGGATGGGGAATTGCTTATATATCAGAGCGAGTCCCTTAATATCTATAATTGATGTGTGTCAATTAAAGAAAAAAATAGTGGTAATGAAAGTGAAACACAGATTAAAGAGCTTTGTCACGTAAACTTATGACCAGAATTTAGCTCCCAAATTTTACTTTTGTTTTCCTTCCTATGCTATAAGTATCAATAACAAGTCAGCCATCAATAGTCTAAAATATTAATCAATAAGTCCCATTATTATCCTTCAACTTGACTAAAACTCTGTATTTTATTTCCTTTGTGTGTGTGTGTATGTGTGTGTATGTGTGTGTGCGTGTGTGTGTGTGTTATGTCAGTGTGCAGCAGTGTGAAAATGGAGGTCAGGGAACAATCTTGCATGTTGGTCCTAGTCTTCTACCTTGTTGGAGACAAGGTTTCTCTTCCTTCACCACTCTTTTCGCAGGATATCTTGATAGACACATTCCACTAGCCTTCAGGTGTTTTCCTTTCTCCACCTCCCATCTGTCTGTACGGGCAGTGATGACTCTGTCACTACATCCTGCTTTCATAAGGGCTCTTGGGGACTCAACTCGGGTCATTAGTCTTGCACAGCCTCCTCTCCTAGGTAATAACAACTGTAGGTTTTAGTAAGAAACCAGTCACACCATTTTGGAGACTTTCTAAATGTAATAAGAAACAAAAGTCACATTTGTTCAGTTTAGAACTAAAGAAATTCATTAAACATTGGAATTAGATTTTTGTTACCATTATTTCATCAAAGCATTTTCAGGCAGTTTTTACAAAGTTGAGTTTTGATTCATAATCTGTTCAGAGATGAGTTAAATAGTTGTATCGTATCTAGTAAACAATGGACTCAAGCTTTTTATTAGTTCTTCCCCAAGTTTTGCAATCCTAGAAATAGCATTGATAGAGGAACTAATGGTGTGCTCTAAAATGTCATATTTTCTCACTGAAAATTATCAAACAATAGATTTTAAGAGATTGATTTTTCAGAAAACATTATAGTTTGAAGATAAAGAAGATGACATTTTTAAAAGAAGACATTATTTACTTACAACTCCTGTGCTCTTAAAGATATAATCTAGTTCAAAAGTGTTCTGCCTAGAACAAATATTGTCATAGTAGTCAGGTCTCTAGTGATTTCTGAGACTCCATTCAAAGCTCAGATGGGGAAAAAGATTATATACTTGAGTGTCTTGTGAAAATCATAAAGTTTGTCATAAAAATTTATATTGTTTAACATAATAACTTAGTTAACTACTGGCTTCACTAATAAGTCTCTTTTTGCTTACTTCTGATTACATGATCACTGAACTTAAATTAGGGTTTTAATTGTGTTTTAAACAGAATGTTTTAAACAGAATGCATAGCAATGTATAATTAATTCCCAAGCATGTATACAAGCAAAATTAAGTACTCTGTACAAAAAAAATAACATACACACATACACAAAACAGTTGAAGAATGCTTAATGGATGTCAATATTGTCCTGGGTATAAAATAATACAGACAATGAGGGGGTATGATTAGGGAAACATGACTAACATGAACACTCATATCACTTACAATCTATGTATTATTTTATAAGCAAATGTCTATGTTCTCAGGTCAATGCAAAGAGTTTAGAAATATTATTGAGTATATGCTCATAGTCCACATGCTTATGTCAGTGTCATTGTTACTCCTATTTGGGTAGTTCTGTTATTTGTCCACATCCACACATACGGCACACAGAAAAGCTGACAGCACAGTACTGACTTGTCAGTCTCAAGTCCTAGCTACTGAAATATTTTAAACAGCTTTTTTACCTAACAGGAGAACAGAATTTTTTTTGTTCTACCAGAATCATTCATGCCCTTGTTTGCCCCTTATTTCCAGTAAATAATGTGAGAGTATTGAATTAAATGTAATTGTCACAGTGTGCCAGAGAAATGTAACTATTTTATTGTATGAAGCAATGAAGTATTGGAAAGAACACAATTTCCTACGCGGAAGTAGGAGGAATGTCCTGGACCTGTGCTGTATTATTGTACTTGCTGGGTAAGTTCTGTCTTTATAGGATTAGTGCTGGTCCATCACACAGAGCTCTGACTTCATCTCTGGGTAAACTTCAAAGCCCTTAACTTTACTAATGAATCTTTTTGCAACTGGCTAGCACAGGTCTCTAGCTTGTCTGATTAAAGGACTATGCACACCCTCAGTTCCTTGAGTGAGCCACACGTTTGATAATGGTCAGTTCCTGACAGTTCTCTTTCATGGACACCCAGTCATTTGGGAAGTTTTGTCCCAGTTGTTGTTTTTGTTGTTTTCTTAGGCTCTCAGACAGATGCTTCCATAACCCACTTAAACTAATATTATAAATTAAAGTATAGTGGTCACTCAAGTTACTTTTTAGCAAACTGTCTCTTTTATTGGGATGAAAATTCCAGGAAGACATGAAATTCATTTCTTGTGTTGCCTGTAGAAAGTCCAGTGTAACATACCTCTACTCTTCTCAAAGAGAAAGTGTAAATAAAAATCAGATCCATCATGGATTATCTAGATGATCTCAGTTCTAACAGTAATTCTTATTATATGAGGTTGAGACAAGAAGACGAAGGAGGAGTGGGTGGTTTTACAACAGAGTGATGAGGAACAGGAAGGAGAGATAAAGGGTTCTTTCTCAGATCCTTGGAGGTATGCTTTGGGTTCTATTTGTGATTGTTTTTGAAGGCACAAAATATGTAGCATCGTACACAAAAATGAATTGGAAGCCCAACCCATGTGATTGAATATGTGGCTGTAGCTGAATGAGTACATCAAGAAAATAAATGGTATGGTTATATACACTGTATAATTCTGATAAGGAAAGATTGGAATAAGCTGGGCATAACTCACAACTGTCCTCCTTTTAATAATGTGAAGGAAGTTTTTTTTTTTTTAAATCTCAAACATAGCCATTCAATATATATGAAGACCATGGATTCAATACTCATTTCTAATTACTTCACACACTTTGGAGATGATGATTCTGGAAGGCAAGAGTTACAATAGGCATAACCCTTCTACCTTTCAGCACCGTCTTCAGAACAAAGTTAAAGAATTCATTAATTCACCAAGTAATGTTTATTGAGAAGTTATTACATAGCAGACAGATACCAACGTGACCCGGGGGAGACAGAGATGAACAAACCATACGCAATTACTATGCTGTTAGACTGGCAGATCAGTAGGGAAAATAGACAATGAACCAAAAGTTACAAAGAGTAAAAATTGCTACATTAGGGAAACTTGTCTGCAATGCTGTCTATATTCACTTGTGCAGTCCCAATGCTAATTATCTCTAATTAGTTTTCTCAGAGAAAACACATCTAGAACTTATTCTTAGTAGTGCCAATAGGGAGAGAGCCCTGACCCTAAAATGAGCCATAGTGGGATATGTAGAGATAAATGAAATTTATTTGTGAACTACTCACTGGAATTATTTTTTTTGTTAAATGAAAAAAAAAACATATCCTCAAACAAAAATAAGCATACTAAATTATGTTTAATTTTATGGTCGTGGCAAAAGTATACTCCCTTAAGAAAAAATAATTAATTTTAAAAATATTTTGAATTTGTTATTTAATCAACATTTAGAACCTAGATAATGCTTGGTTTAAGTCAGGATAATGTTATAAGAGGCTTGCTCTAGTTATTTCTATTTAAAGTAGAAAAACAGAATGAAGCTCTTTCCATGGAATCTAAATTCTTACAAAAAAATAGATTTCACGTTTT